AGTATCTTTAAAGAAAAAAAATGCACTTCTTATTGTAATTCTTACAAAATCTCTTTCTTCGTAATACTTTTTCAAACATTCTTCTTCTTCTTTCATAGTTATGTTCAAACACCTCTTGTCTGTCGGAGATTAAATGCTTTCTTCTTTTTCTTTTTTCTTCGTAATACTTTTTCAAATGCCATCTTCTTTTTTCATTTTCAATTTTTTTTCAAATGCGGGGTAATACTTTTTCATCATTCTTCTTTTTCTTCTTTTCTTCGTTACTTTTCAAATGCACTTCTTTTTTTTTTTCTCTTTTTCATTCTTTTCAAATTTCTTCTTTTTTCTTCTCTTTCTTCGTAAAACCCGTTTTTTTTTTTCTTTCTTCGTAATACTTTTTCAAATATATTTTTCTTTTTTTTTTCAAATTTTTCATTTTTTTATTCCAATTTTTTTTCTTCTTCTTTTTCAGATTCATCTTCAAATTTTCAAATGCATTTCTTTTTTCTTCTCTTTCTTCTACTTTTTTCAAATGCACTTCTTCTTTTTTTTTTCTCTTTCTTCATCTTCTTTTTTTTCTTCTTTTCTTCGTAATATACACTTTCTTTTTTTCTCTTTCTTCGTTTTTTTCAAATGCTTTCTTTTTTTTCTCTTTTTTAATACTTTTCAAATGCACTTTTTCTTTTTCTTCTTTTAATACTTTTTCAAATTCTTCGTACTTTTTCAAATGCACTTCTTTTTCTTCTTCTTTCTTCGTAATTTTTTCAAATGCTTTTTTTTTCAAATTTTTCAAATCTTCTTCTTTTTTTCTCTTTCTTCGTAATACTTTTCAAATGCACTTCTTTTTTTTCTTCTCTTTTTCTTCTTTTTTTCAAAAAAATCTTTTTTTCTTTTTTCTTCGTAATGCAAATGCTTCTTTTTTTTTTCTCTTTCTTCGTAAATACTTTTTCAAATTTCAAATGCACTTCTTCTTTTTTTCTTCTCTTTCTTCGTTTCAATACTTTTTTTTCAAATGCAAATTCTTTTTTTTTTCTCTTTCTTCGTAATACTTTTTCAAATGCACTTCTTTTCTTTTCTTCTCTTTCTTCGTCTTCTACTTTTTTCTTCGTAATACAAATGCTTTTTTTTTTTCTTCTCTTTCTTCGTAATACTTTTTTCAAATGCTTCTTCTTCTTTTTTCTTCTCTTTCTTCGTAATACTTTTCAAATTTCTTCTTTTTCTTTTTTTTTTTCAAATGCACTTCTTCTTTTTTCTTCTCTTTCTTCGTAATACTTTTTCAAATGCACTTCTTCTTTTTTCTTCTCTTTCTTCGTAATACTTTTTCAAATGCACTTCTTCTTTTTTCTTCTCTTTCTTCGTAATACTTTTTCAAATGCACTTCTTCTTTTTTCTTAAACTTTCAAATCTTCTTTCTTTTCTTCGTAATACTTTTTTTTTCTTCGTAATTCTTTTCTTTTTTTTTTTTCTCTTTTTTTCTTCGTAATACTTTTTCAAATGCACTTCTTCTTTTTTCTTCTCTTTCTTCGTAATACTTTTTCAAATGCACTTCTTCTTTTTTCTTCTCTTTCTTCGTAATACTTTTTCAAATGCACTTCTTTTTTCTTCTCTTTCTTCATAAAATGCACTTTTTTTCTTCTCTTTCTTCGTAATGCAAATCTTCTTTTTCTTCTCTTTCTTCGTAATACTTTTTCAAATGCACTTCTTCTTTTTTTTCTACTTTTAATAAAATGCACTTCTTCTTTTTTTTCTTTTTTCGTCTCTTTTTCAAATGCACTTCTTCTTTTTCTTTTTTCTTCGTAAACTTTTCAAATGCTTCTTCTTCTTTTTTTCTTCTCTTTCTTCGTAATACTTTTTCAAATGCACTTCTTTTTTCTTCTCTTTCTTCGTAATACTTTTTCAAATGCACTTCTTTTTTTTCTCTTTCTTCGTAATACTTTTTCAAATGCACTTCTTCTTCTTCTTTTATCTTCTCTTTCTTCGTAATACTTTTTAAATGCACTTCTTCTTTTTTCTTCTCTTTCTTCGTAATACTTTTTCAAATGCACTTCTTCTTCTTCTTTTTTTCTTCTCTTTCTTCGTAATACTTTTTCAAAGACACTTGCTCTTTCTTATCCTTATTCCTTTTCTTCTCTTTCTTCTTCTTCTTCTTCTTCTTCTTCTTCTTCTTCTTCTTCAAATTCAAATTCAAATTCAATTTCAAATTCTTCTTCCCATACACTTTCTTTTACTTCGTGCTTCTTATTATTTTTGTTCATTTTTTTTTACTTCTTCTTCATGTTATTCTTCATTAACTTCGAATACATTCTTCTTTAGGATTCATTTATCTTCCTCCTCGTTGTCCTCCTTCTCCTCTTTCTTCTTCTTCTTCTTCTTCTTCAAATTCATCTTTAAATATATTTCTACTTTTTTCTTCTTTTCCTTCCTCTTCTTCTTCCTCTTCCAATTCATCTTTAAATACATATATATCTACTCTTTTCTTCTTCTTTTCCTTCTCCCTCTTCTTCTTCAAATTCAGCTTTAAATATATAACTACTTTTTAATTTATTTTTTGTTCATATTCATCTTGGAATAAACTTAATCTCACGCCTCCTTTACCTCTTTCTTCTTCTTCCTCTTCTTCTTCTGCTTCAAGTTCTTTTTCTCCTTCTTCTTCTTCTTCTTCTTCTTCTGTACAATTAGCTTATTGTTTTATTGTACGTCCATCTTGAATTTCTTTTTCTTCCTTTTCTTTCCCTAACGCCGTGTGGAAATTCGATCTAAACGTCCGACCGCCTTATTGGTAGTCCTTGGCTCTCACCCGAATCCTAAGTATACTTTTGATTAACTTTGCGCCCTTTATCAGACAGATAATACCATCAGCTACCCTCAACCCTTAGCCATGAACCATCTACCTAAAAATAAACCGTTTTCTGCTATCTTTGCGATTCCTTTTTAAGACTTGGACTCAGTTTGGCCAATTCGTATATTGGATTTGTTTTGTTTGCCGTGTCTTTATTTTTCGCGAGGGGAGGGGATAAAGTTCGTTGGGGCTTGTTGCTCGAAGGTAAATAATAATAGAATGGAATGTTTTATTTAATTATTGGCCACAAATTTAATCAAAGCTCTAAAGAAAAAGAAAAAAAAGAAAAAAAAGAAAAAAAAAGAAAGGTTCTGTTTGAAATAACAGGTATTAAAATGTTTAGATTTACGATAAAAAAAAATATAAAATATAAAACAGGTCACGCAGACCAGGTAAGAAAAATATTTATTTACCGAAGGTCTTTTGCGTCCCTAAGTAAAAAAGAATCACTATATACGTGGTACAATTTTGTGTAGAGATTTATTTATATTTATATTTTATTATGCGGTTCAGTTGGCTCGGATGTTCATGAGTACATCACACCAAACATCAGAGATCTGCATCAAAGTCGGAAGGTCAATAGGGAGGCATTCTATGCCATTTCATTCTCAGTCAATATAGGTGCTTCATGGTCGAGCATCTAGTCTTGTTTAAAAGTTAGGTGTTCAGAACAGTAGATCACTTTTGAGTTCTTGTTTTGATGGCAGGCAGTGTTCGTGTAAGATTTTAGATATATCAGGGGTGGGTCCATAGAGCTGTGATTCAGTTAGTTGCCGTTTCCAGATGTTAAGCATAGCTCTCAGCATCCTAGTGTCGGTTAAATCAAGCTTAGACGCGAGGCTTTTAGTCAATGTCCAGGCATTGGAACCATACATTAAAATCACCTCTTCAGAGGCTCAAAAGAATCTCCGCTTGAGGTTGTCTGGCAAATCAGATTTCCAGATTACATCCATTATATTCAAGGTGGCCCAGGCTTTAGCCACGCAATTTTCACATCATTTTAAGTAGAATTATATATATATATATATATATATATATATATATATATATATATATATATATATATATATATATATATATATATATATATATATATATATATATATATATATATATATATATATATATATATATATATATATTATATATATATATATATATATATGTAGGATTATATATATATATATATATATATATATATATATATATATATATATATATATATATATTGGATAGATAGTGAGTCTGTGACCCTGGGTTTTCACGCTTTGGCGATTGTCAGAGTCTGACGATCACTAAAGCGTGAAACCCAGGGTCACAAATTCACATCTATCCAACCATATATGTTAGCTCTATCTCTGATATTGAGCGCTTTCTAATAAGTACCGCGCATATAATATATAAATAATTATACATATATATATCTTATTTATATTTATATACACTTTTCATATATATATATATATATATTGAGATATAGATTGAGAGGGAGTGAGTGGGTGATATATGAATCGGCTCGGAAAAATTGATAGATAGATAAAGAAAGAAAGAATGTAACTGAGATATTTATTATTTGAAAAAAAACATTGTTACATCTATTTATTTTATATTTATGCATTCGGTCTAGCTCGGAAATGAAAGAGACTATCACGCCAACCATCACGGGACTGCATTAATTTTGGAAGGTACGGGCATACCTGGTCAATGTAGGTGGTTAGTGGTCGAGCAACAAGTCTCGTTTAATGGCTAGGTGTTCAGAACAGTGGATCGCTCCGGAGTTCCTTATTTTATCGCCATCCATAAAAACGTATTATGCGTTCGCTCAAGATTGTTAAAATAAATCAAACTGCTGGCATTTATATTGCCACTGCGCTCACAACCTATGGCAACAGAGCTAATGTGTGCAGAGTGAAGTCGCTTGGCACTAACTGACTAACTGCGCATATACACTAAGTTGCAACATTCTTGCTCACTTCATACATTTATAGCAGTACTTGGAAGGAAAGTGTGTAGAGTGTGGTCGTCTCATTCCACCAAAGAGATTCCATCAGAGAGCACGGATTGTGCAGATATATTCTCCAGGGTCAATAAACACCTCATTCCCCAGTTCTTACTCCTTGCAAATTTTTGCTCTTCAAAAATCAAATCCCATTTGAAAGAAAAAGCATTTCAAGCCGCCGAGGAAATTCAAGAGAATGAAACAAGACAGCTGCTTGCGCTCCCCCCAAAAAGGAGATCCTGGAAGGCATCCATCAATGGAAACGACACTTCAGAAGGGGATTATATCGAAGGAGATTAAATGCGGAATATATATGTGTTGTAGTTTTCTTTTTATAACACCTGTTCAGATACTTTTTTGAACAGACCTAGTATATGATATTATTATTCGGTCGAGTTAGCACAGACATTGATGAGACTGTCACACCAATCATAACAGTCCTGCATCAATGTTTGAAGTTCATAACATACCTGGTCAATGTAGGTAGTTACTGGTCGACCAGCTAGTTTTGCTTAATGGCTAGGTGCTAAGAATTGTGGATCGCTCACGAGTTCCTGTTTTTATCGGCATCCTGCAAAGTGCATTCTGCGTTCGTACAAGATTGTCGAAATGACAGGAATATAGTTGGAGGTTGTCTCTCATCCATCTACCATCAAGCTTAGACTTTAGGGATTTAGATAATCTGCAGACAGTGGAAACATGCATTAACACCGCCTCTACTGTAGCTCAAAATAATATCTGCATATTCTTTTTGCGTGTGCCTTGTCCCTTCATGACGTAGGCAATCATGGCTGTCCACTAACCCCCTCAATGTTGTGTAGCTCTCGATAAGTTGCATTTTTTGCAACTTCCCCAGACCATGTTTCTTTTATCCATGTTCTGTCATTCACATTCAAAATACAAAGACCAATTTTCCCTATCCCTTGCAGCTCCTAATAAATTTTCTCCTCTAGCCACCTCTCCCAAACTCTGTTCTGACATCCACACGCCCAAGCCCGCCAGGTATGTCACGTGGTGATTTCCCTTGTGCCTTTTCCTCTATCCGCCATGTGAGTATCAGATTCTTCAAGCCCTACTTTCTCATTACCTATCCCAGAAATTTCAGCTGCCTCTAAGTAAAACAGAGATGATGATGTTTCCTAAGGGAAGATTTCAGTTCGTCTTCGAGGGTGATAATACATCCAGTATAAATTTATGTTTGAGTGAATATAATTAACTCGCTGAGAGCAGGTTGTGTTTTTCTAATCTTATATATTTATGCTCTTTTAAAATCGGAGTTATTAGGTTTATCGAGGCGGAAATTGTATTCAGCGATTCGAGTTCAAATATTAATCTAGTCTGCTGCGTTCGTTTTTCACAAGCGCAAAAGGCAGGATTGCATCTCTTCTACTTACAGTTATCTATCTATCTATCTATCTATCTATCTATCTATCTACCTCTGCCTCGTTCTATCTATCTATCTATATATATATATATATATATATATATATATATATATGCCAATCTGTTTATATCTATCTATCTATCTATCTACCTCTGCCTCGTTCTATCTATCTATCTATCTATCTATATATATATATATATATATATGCCAGTCTGTTTGTATCTATCTATCTATCTATCTATCTATCTATCTATCTATCTCTGTCTCGTCCTATCTGTCTATCTATCTATCTATGCCAGTCTGTTTCTGTCTATCTATCTATCTATCTATCTATCTATCTATGCCAGTCTGTTTATGTCTATCTATCTCTGTCTCGTCTTATCTATCTATCTATCTCTGCCTTGTCCTATCTATCTCTTCCTCGTCCTATCTATCTATCTATCTATCTATCTATCTATCTATGCCAGTCTGTTTATATCTATCTATCTATCTATCTATCTATCTATCTGATTTTGTTACTAATGTTCATACTATACATGCCAAAGAGCCTCTCGAGGTATCCTTTTAGTAAAGGAAATACTTGTGTAAGCGTTAAGAGTTAAGAGGAAAATTGGTAGGGATAAGGGTGAACCCTTGTTGTGAACAGGTTCGGATTGTCCTCCTGTTCAGGAAATGGTTCTTCAAATAAGCGGTTTGTGAGAAGACGGTACTCGATCGAAACTGACTTCTCACTAATGGAATACAAAGTGAAAAATGAATGACATCCACTGATAGACTACTTCGCTGTATCACAGCTCATCAGTGTGACTGGACGTCCGCTTGACTCTAGCTAAGATCGAAACCCGGCTGAATTGGCGTCAGTCGGATAATCTACACCTTCGCCGTTGGCACACGGCAGGGATGAAGTTGAATTTAAACGTACTTATTTTAGATAAACACGCCTGAGAGAACTCGATTCATTTTATCTAAGAATATCGCTTTATTTTCTTATATATATATATATATATATATATATATATATATATATATATATATATATATGTGTGTGTGTGTGTGTGTGTGTGTGTTTGTGTGTGTGTGTGTGTATGTATATATATATATATATATATATATATATACATATATATATATATATATATATATATATATATATATATATATATATAGGTGTGTGTGTGTTGTGGTTTCGAAGAAAGATTACAAAAATCATTGAAATACTTCTTAAACTAATTATAACCAATTTTTTTCTACTGCAATGAAAGAACTTGATTAATATATACCTTTAAAGAATGAAGACAG